TATTTTATATGATGAAAAAGAGTCTAAAATCTGTTTTAAATATACTAAAAATTTCAGTTTGTATATAAAATCTACATATATATATATATATAATATTTAACAACAATTAATGAAAAAAGAGGCCATGAATTTGAAAGAGAAGGAGGGGTTTATGAAAGGGTTGAGGGAAGAAAAAGAAGGAATGGTGTAATAATATAAAATGAATAAGGTACTAAAATTACTAATCCTAATATTTCTACAATACTGAGTCCAGAAATGCATGTAAAGGGCTAGAAACTCAGCTGTACAAACAATGCATTTAAAGTGGGTGTTTCAGTTTCCAGGTGGCAGTAATCACAGCACTTGCATCCATTTAATATTTAGGAAGCACTCAAGGTAGCACATGCAAAAGACTGAGTTGATATTTCCGTTGGAATTACTTGCAGGTGTGACAAACAGAAAAGCAAAGACTTGAGAAGCAACTTACTACATGCACAATTATCTAAGTACAAATAGGAGGAAAAGTAAATGGAGGGAGGCAACGAACTTAAAACAAAGAAAAAAACATGACCCAAGGATAAGACATGGGAACTACAGAAAATTAGGGAGGAAGAATGATAAATATTTCTGCCATAACCACAGTCATCTACTCAAGATAAAAAAAGAGTTTAGCTTAAGTAAAGTACTTTCTTCAAATTTACAAGTATATATTAAAAAGAGGCAGATTTCCCACCTCGAAGTAAATTCCGGCATTAACTATGACACATGTAATGGCCAGTAAGTCGCGAGACAATCAATGCTAAATGGAAGCCTATGTCAACCTGTAAATAATAATTTGACTTTAGAATTAATATAAGCCTCCTAAGGTGTACACAATGTAAATTAAAGGCATGCTATGTAAATTACAGCATCTAGCTATAAGTTAATTGGACTGGAGATAAAAGTGAAAAAGTTTAAAACTAGACTCTTGATGCATCACGCCTTTGACTCAGCCTAGACATACAAAAGCATGCATATTTCTTTTGGGGGAAGAGCGTCAATATCTAACCAGATGAATTAAGTCACACTGTTGCCCTTCTAAGAGAAACTGTATGACAATTATTTTCATATGAAAATAGGATTTCTAAACATTTTCCATGACAGATAATAATTACTAGTTCTCAAAAGCCACACTGAACTTCTAATAGTACTTCTCTAATAACAAACTAGCTTAGCAGTTTGCATAAAATTTTAGTCTTAACTACCAGTTCCCATTAACAAACATTAATTTTTTAATATTTATTTATTTGTTATGTATACAATATTCTGTCTGTGTGTATGCCTGCAGGCCAGAAGAGGACACCAGACCTCATTACAGATGGTTGTGAGCCACCATGTGGTTGCCGGGAATTGAACTCAGGACCTTTGGAAGAGCAGACAATACTCTTAACCACTGAGCCATCTCTCCAGCCCCAAATATTAATATTTAAAAGGATGAAGAAATAACAAACATTCAGTGGTACTAGGGTTAGACCCCCAAGCACTACCACAAATATTATATATGCCCCAGTATTTAAGTTATATTCAGTATTTATAAGGTTTGAGATTGGTTCAAGTTTCTTCCTGACTTAATCTTGGCACAATGAAAACCCAACTGGATTAGACAAGCACCCAGGTAATGAAATATCACAACTGGAGTATAAATAAAAATGTAAATCTTATAGCCATCTCTTCTTTTAAGATTTCTTTTCATTTGCATGAGAGTTTATTGATATGTATGTCTGTGCAACATGTGAATACCTGGTAGCTGTGGAGGTCAGAAAAGGATACTGGCTACCCTGAAACTGGAGTAATAATGGCTGTGAACAGCAATGTGGGCAGTGGGAACTAAACTCAGGTCCTCTGCAAGAGCAGCAGGTACTCAGAGCCACTGAGCTAACTCTCCCACCCTTACAGTCATAGTTTAGAAATTTAGAAAGTCACCCTTGATCAAGGTAACCATATATATATATATATTTAAAGTGGTATATTAGCAGATATTGAGAATGGTCTCTGGGAATTAACTCCTAAATTCCTTCAATATGCTCCCTCACCTCCATTTCATTAAACTGCTAAGCATCATCACTGAATAACTGCGCAAAGGATAGGAATATTGGAATAAACAATGTATCATGGTGTGGCGGACAGGTGAGATAAGACATTTTATTTTTTAATTCATTGAGCATGGGTGTTTCTCCGCATGCCCTCTTAACCACTGAGACATCTCCAGTACTCAAACATTCTGCCTCCCGAGTGCTGCGACAAAAGGCCTGTGCCACCACCACCAAGCAAGTGCTGGGACTAAAGGCCGGTGTCACCACCGCCCAGCAAGGTCTGTAATTTTTATGCAGAAAAAAAAATGTTTAACTTTTCATGGTTTGATTTCTAAGATCATATCATACCAAATCTTTTTTAATTCTCGGATAATGTCATAAAGCATATAATCACATTCTTTTTTTAAGTGAAAGTTTTACAGCAATGTTTTGCAAAATCAATGCAATTCTGACCTTGGGGGCTGGAGCGATGTCTCCATGGTTAAAATTGTACTTGGCAAAACACTGCCGTAAAACTTTCATTTTTAAAAGAGGATGATAAAAGTAAACTCTTTGAAATTCTCAAATAATTAAAAAAAAATAAACGAATTAGCAAGCGCAAAGCCCTGGATTCAGTCTGAAGCACCGCATAAAGCCAATCATAGTGGGGCATAGCTATGATTCCAGTTCATAGGATGGAAACAGGAGAATCATGCCAGGAGCAGAAGGCATCATCTGCTACACAGGAAGTACATGTCTAGTCTGGAATACATGAGACCCTACATCAAAAACATATTTATTAATGGGAATTTGGCTTAGTGACAAATAAAGTACTTGCTCAAAATATGTGTACATAAATTACTGGTGAAATTCCAAACATAAAATGAAAAGAGGGATATATCCATTTTTGATACTTAAAAACCCTCTTTAAAACAGACATCTATAGAACATTCCACCCAAACACAAAAGAATATACCTTCTTCTCAGCAGCTCATGGAACCTTCTCTAAAACTGATTACATACTCAGTAACAAAACAAACCTCCACAGATACAAAAAAAATGGAGTAACTCCCTGTGTCTTATTGAATCACCATGTATTAAAGTTAGAATTTGACAACAATACTACTCTCCTCTCAGAAAGACCCACATTGGAGCACTGGACTGAGCTCCCAAAGTCCAGTTTTAGAGTGTGAGGAATGAGAATATGAACAAAGAGGTCAGGACCATAATGGGTTCACTCACTGAAACAGTCTAACTGAGGTTATGGGAGCTCATCAACTCCAACCGAACTGGGAAGAAACAAGCATAGGACCAAACTAGTTCCTCTGAATGTTGTTGACAGTTGCATGGCTGGGGCAGACTGAGGGGCCACTGGCAGTGGCACCAGGATTCATCCCTACTGCATGTACTGGCTTTTTGGGATCCTATTTTTTTTGGATGTATACCTTGATCTGCCTAGCTATAGTAGGGAGGGCCTTGGACCTTCTCAAAAGCAATGTGCCTTACCCTCTCTCAGGAATGGATGGCGGTGGGGTGGGAGGGTATGTGGAAGTTATGGGAGGAGGGGAAAGAGTGGGAACTTAGATTCGTACTTTTTTAAAAATCTAATAATTTTTTAATAAAGAAAATAAATTATTTATTACAAAAAAACCCTCTTTAAAGCAGGAATAGAAGGCAATATCTTAAAATTGATTCAATAAAAACATCTATGATGGCCGGGAGTGGTGGCGCATGCCTTTAGTCCCAGCACTCAGGAGGCAGAGGCAGGTGGATCTCAGTGAGTTCGAGGCCAGCCTGGTCTTCAGAGCAAGTTCCAGGACAGCCAGGGCTACACTGAGAAACCCTGACTTGAAAAAAAACAAGAAAAAAACATTTATGATGATACTTAGTGATGAAAACTGCCTAGGTTTAATCTTAAAACAAGGAACAAAGTAAGGACATCCTTTCTTACTACTTCAACCAACTACTGTATAATGCAAGAAAGAAAATTTTAAAAGACGAATAAAGTAAACCTATGTTTCTGAGTTGACATCATCATCATCCACATAAACCATTTCAAGGTATCTTTTTAAGTCACCGAATTTAATAAATGAATATCAAAGGGCTATATTTGTAGTAATTGAACAGTGGATTGTAAAATTTATGAGGGATAAGGATGAGAAATGTTGAAACAATTTTGAAAATCTTTTGACCTTGTGTTAGGCAACAATTTCTTAGATACGACACACACACAAAAAAAAAAACCTATACTTTAAAAAAAACTGACAAGCTTCTACAAAGATATCAAAAGCTTCTGTCCTTTTAAAGACTTAAAAAATGCAAAAATAACCAGAGACTGAACCAAAATATGAAAAAATTGTAACCAAAATATATTATGAACCCATTAAGAAAAAGGCAAATCATTTTGAAAATGAACATAAGATACTTTTATGAAGAAACAGGCAAATATGCACATAAAAATCAAATAATTGGGAGGCAGAGGTAGGCGGATCTCTGTGAGTTTGAGGCCAGCTAGCTCCAGGACAGGCACCAAAGCTACAGAGAAACCTGTTTTGAAAAACCAAAAATAAATAAATAAATAAATAATCATACAAAAATTGGTGAGGATATGAAGCAACTGCAATCTCTATCACTGGTGGAAATGAAGATGGGATTACCACATTAAAAAATGTACTAGGGTTTCTTTTGGAGGTAGGGGTTAGTTTTTTGAGAAAGGGCCCCTCTGTGTAGTCCTGGCTGTCCTGGAACTCGCTTTGTAGACCAGGTTGGCCTCAAACTCAGAGATCTACCCGCCTTTGTCACCTGAGTGCTGGGATTAAAAGCCTGTGCCATCCATCAGGCCTGGTGATTCCAGTTTCTTATAAAATATCCATGTACTTGGCCTCTGATCCACCAATTCTACTATGTATTTACCTCCCCAAATGAAACCATGTGTGTGAATATACCTATACAAGAAGATTTAAAGTAGCTTTATTCACAATAGCCAAAATCTGAAAAGAATCCAATAATGGATTGAGCTAAACAAATAGGACATAATATATTAATACAATACAATACTACTGAGTAATAAAAAGGAATGCTACTGGTATGAAATGGCTTAAATCTCACCGGGCAGTGGTGGCACACCCCAGCACTTGGGAGTCAGAGGCAGGCGTATCTCTGTGAGTTCGAGGCCAGCCTGGTCTACAAGAGCTAGTTCCAGGACAGGCTCCAAAGCTACAGAGAAGCCCTGTCTCAAAAAACCAAAAAAAAAAAAAAAGAAAAAAAAAGAAAAAGAAAAATAAGAAATGGCTTAAATCTCATAAACCAGTCATCTAAAAGAAACCTGATAGAACCCAGAATTCAGGAGCTACTCAGGAGAATGACTGTACTTCAAAGCCAGCCTGGTCTCCATAGCAATTTCTAGGTGAAACTAAGCTACACTAACAAGATCTTGCCTGAAAAAATTATCTATAGGCTCAGTGCGGTGGTGGTGCACACCTTTAGCCCTGAAAGACAGGAGCAGGTTAATCTTTATGTGTTCAAGGTCAAGAACTTGATAGGGGAATAAAAACAAGATAAGAGGATGAACCTGATCTAAGTAGTGAATTCAGGGCCAGCCAGACACAAGGAATTCTAAAAAAGGAAATATATAACCACAGAAGAAAAGACTAGTCATTTTCAGGGGTTGAGACAGGACTTCAGAAAATGATAGAAACATTATAGCCTTTAGTATTCTGGAAGTTACATTAATGCATACATTTGTCAAAATCCAGTAAACTGGACAGTTTAAAAGGGAGAATTTTATTCTATCACTATACCTTAATGTACATTCCTTTATAAAAATATCTAGGCCTGCCAGGCAATGGTGGCACATGCCTTTAATCCCAGCACTCAGGAGGCAGAGGCAGGCAGATCTCTGAGAGTTTGAGTTCAGCCTGGTTTACAGAGCAAGTTCCAGGACAGGCTCCAACGCTACAGAGAAACCCTGCCTCAAAAAAAAAAAAATAGCTAGGCCTTGTACCAAAAGCCTTTGATCTTAGCTATATGGAATACTGAAGAAGCAGGAAGAACCAGCAAACTGAAGGCCATCCTAGCCTGGAGCAAAACACTGTCTCAAAATAAAAATATTAAAAAGATAGCTTCAGACGTGTCTCAGTGTTAGAGAGCTTACCTAATATGTATGAGGCCCTAGCTTCAACCCCAGCATCAAAAACAAAAACAAAAATAAATGATTGATTGATAAATATACAGATTCTAAAACGTTATATAGCTGGGTGGTGGTGGTACACACCTTTAATGCCAGCACTTGAGAGGCAGAAGGCAGGGGGATCTCTGAGTTCTATGCCAGCTTCGCATACATATGAAGAGTTCCAAGACAGTCAGGGCTACATAGCGAGACCCTGTCTCAAAACAATGCAATATAGCTAATTACCTACTTTTGCAGCTCAGTAAGTATATTTGAAGTATGATAACATCTGACGACAAACATGATACGGTAAGAAAAACAAGAAGAAAAGCAAATTATCTTTAGCCAATTATATGACTTCCCTGGATTTTGTTCAAGTTTCTATGTTGCAAACAGGGGAGCTATAATCTAGTATCCCAGATATATTCCCTAGAAATATGAAGAATCTTTACTTCCTTCTTGTTTTGAGACACTAACTCCCTGAGAAGACCAATCTGGCCTTGAATTTAAGACCCAGAAAGACAATTATCACATGTACTCACTCATAGGTGGCTTTTAAACATAAAGCAAAGAAATCAGCCTACAAACCACAATTCCAGAGAATTTAGACAACAATGCGGACACTAAGAGACTTACATAGATCTAATCTACATGGAAAGTAGTAGAAAAAGATCTCTTGAGTAAATTTGGAGCATGGGGGCCTTAGGGCAGGGTTGAAGGGGAGTGGAGAGGTAGGGAGGGGAGCAGAGAAACAAGCAGAACTGAATAAAATTAACAAAAAAAAAGACGAGACTGGCCTGACTCTGCTTGAAGAATGCTATGACTAAAGGCTAACACCACTACATCCTGCCTATTTCCTTTCTTTAGTCTCTTCCTTCTCGGTCTAATTACAGGAGAAATACCATCATTAGGTAAAGCACAATACACTTTACATATGAAAGGCGCCCTACACTTTACAGATTTTTTTTGTATTGTTTGGACACAACTGCTTTCCATATTCAGTAGACTAATGTTGAAGTTTTCTCTAGTTGTTAGATTCTTCTTATAGAGCGGTTAAGTCTTATCTCGTTATAGTTCTGTGTTAGACTGGTTATCTGTAAGACCTTCATTTAAAACTAGCTATGGTGAGGTGGGTACGGTCATACAAGCCTGGAATCTCAACACTTCGGGAGGTGGAGGAAGAAAGATGGAAGAAAGATTATGACTTAAAGGTCAGCCTTGGCTACAAAGCCAATTTGAGGCCAGCCTTTCTCAAGGAACCAAAAATCGAATGAATGAATGAAGTAAGCTACAGAGCAATGTCCTTCACAATGAGAAAACTTCCTGAAATTAAAAACATTTTTGAAATATGGTCTGTCTCTGTAGTCTTGGAAATCGCTATGTAGACCAAGCTGGTCTTGAAATAACAGAGATCCATGTGTCTCTGCCTCCTGAGTGCTAAAAATCTTTGTGTTATTTTATTTTCTCACAGTGCCCAGTCCAGCCTCAAACTTGCTAAGAAACCAAAGATTATCTGGACTCAGATCCTCCTCCTGGAACTTCCTAAATCCTGGAGATTACAAAATTTGGATTATAGGAATGTATTACCACACCTGGTTTTGACGTCACAAATTTTAAAGATTTGATACTCATATTCTTTGCTTTCTTATTTAAATAAAAATTTTTATCATGGTCTAAATTCTAAATCTCTTAAACTTAATCTTAACTAATTTAGCTAAATCTTTTAAATTTAGGCCTCTTAAACTTGACCAGTATAAGTACTATGTGAAAACCGATTTAGATCTAAGATCCTCTCCAAATACAAGGTAGATTTTAAAATTTTAAAAATACTAGCAAATCGTTAATTACTAAGCAATTACTTTTTTCTTTTTTTTTAAAGAATTATTTATTACGTATACAGTGTTCTGCCTGCATGTTTACCTGCAGGCCAGAAGAGGAAGCCAGATCTCACTGCAGATGGTTGTGAACCCACCATGTGACTGCTGGGAATTGAACTCAGGTCTGGAAGAGCAGTCAGTGCTCTTAGCTGCTGAGTCATCTCTCCAGCCCCCAAGCAATTACTAAAAGAATCCACACTACCTGGCAGAAGGTTGAATGACTATGCCTAGTTCAAACAGGAGATGCAAAAGCATTTGCATCACATCTGTAAACTCAATATTCAGGCTGAAGAAGGATCTAAGATCACTTCTCAGAAAAACGAAGCAACAACAATAACAAAGCAAAAACAAGGAGCAGAAGTGTGGGGTCTGTGGCTCGGTGGTAGAACAGTTACTAGTGCATGAAGCACTGCATTCCACCCCAGTTCCACAGAAAGAAAGAAAGATAAGAACCAATCGGGACACAGTGGCTGAGGGCTCCCCTGGGCTAGACATTAAGATCTTGTCTTTAAAAAAAACAGTAAGTAGCCGGGCGGTGGTGGCTCAAGCCTTTAATCCCAGCACTTGGGAGGCAGAGGCAGGCGGATCTTTGTGAGTTCGAGACCAGCCTGGTCTACAAGAGCTAGTTCCAGGACAGGCTCCAAAACCACAAAGAAACCCTGTCTCGAAAAACTAAAAAAAAAAAAAACAGTAAGTAAATAAAGACCTAGGAGTGGTGAAGCCTGCCTTTAATCCCAGCACCTGAGGAGCAGAGGCTGGTGGGATCTCTGTGAGCTTCACAGCACACATCAGAGCTATACAGTGAGAAACTACCTCAAAATAAATAAATAAATAGACAGACAGATAGATAATAAAAAAAAAACACAAATAAGATAAATATGACTTTTTAACAGGAGGGTGCCAGCAAGAGTAGGGGATGGCGAATAGAAGAACAGTCAAAGAGGGGAACGAATTAGAACAAAGTATAACAATGCCATGTATGTAGAAAAATGACAAAATGAAACTCATTACTTTTTAATGTTAACTTAAACTGTTTAGGGTTTTTTTTTTTTTTGGACAGGTTTTTTTTTCCTCTGTAGCCCTTGCTGTACTGGAACTCATTCTATATGCCAGGCTGGCCACTAACTAACAGAGCTTTACCTCCTCTGCCTCCTGGGCACTTGGATTAAAACCATACACCACCACTGATGGCTAAATTTTTAATTTAAGAACTTAAAGTAAGGCCCAACGATGGTGGTGCATGCCTTTAAACCCAGTACTTGGGACGCAGAGGCAGGCAGATCTCTGTGAGTCTGAGGCCAGCCTCAGACTGGTCTATAGAGTGAGTTCCAGGAACGCCAGGGATACATGGAGAAAAACACTATCTTTAAAAAAAACGTAAAGCTTGGCATTGTACTACATAACACCATTAGTCCTAGCATTCGGAACAAAGAGGCAGGTACATATGTCTTTGAACACAAATAAGTTCATGAGGAAAAAAAGCCTTCCTCAAGTCAATAAATTATAAATAAAAAATACTGGTATATAAACTATCCCTGACAAGCTGAAAAAAATATTATCAGCAACACAAATCGATTAAGACCTAAGCCAGTTGTCTATTTTTCCAGTAACATTCAGGCTATGAATGTTAGCAATGCACTCCTAAGTAACCAATTTCTCTTATGAAGTTTTACATTTCATCAATGATTTTGGCTAATTATCTTTTAAAATAATCTCTACTATCAATATATTTAACCCCAAGGGGTTAATATGTTCTGTTAACTTACTGTATTTGATAGTATAATAGTATTCCCTTTGAAAAACTGTTCATAAACAGGGATACATAGTGAGACCTAGTCTAATTTTTTTTAAAAGCCAACAACAAAAAGTGTTCCAGTCTTTTTATTTGAAAATTATCCATCCAAATTTTAAGGCACAGTGTGTAAACACTATGAACTATAGAAAAATATATAATTTTTATGGAAGCAGAATGACATTCCAGCACCTTTGTTTTACAAGCACTTTGTAAATCTTAGTTCTAATCACAATATATTTAGACTGAGATCTACCATCTTGGTAGACTAGTAACTAGTAATTCTTTGAGGCGATTTGACTAAAGATGTCCCAAGAACAACTAGGGATGTGAATTTCTGTAAACTAGAACTAAAAGCGGGGATATTTTGTCTTAAAATAATAGAGCAAGGTGTAGTGAGTGGTTCATGCCTCTAATTCCAAGACTCAAGAGACAAGTTAGAACACTGCCTGGTTACACAGCAAATTCCAATCCAGTATGGGAAACAGCAAGACCGTGTCACAAAACAACAAGAAATAAATAGAAAGATGACTGATAGAAAATACATAACATCATTATAAACTTGGCAAGGAAATATAAACAGAACATACATTTGGTTCCTTCTGAAAGCTATCTTTAAACAGTTCCCTGTAAAATTTTGTGGAAACTCAATAAAGAGACATAGAAATAGAAAACCATATGGCTAAAAGCACCCATACTATATGTTCAAAAACATTTCAGAGGCAAGGAACCACTATAATCTCAACATTGGTGAAGTAAAAGCAGAAGTGATCAGGAACTCAAGATCATCCTCTGCTACAGTGAACTGTAGGTTAACCTGAACTACAGAAGATCCTGTCTCAAAAATAAACCAAGTTTCTGCAAAGAAGGAAATGAAATGCAAAAAATAGATCACCTTTTACAAAATGACATTTGCTTTAGGTAGAAAATCACTTTAAACATATAGCCCTGGGGTGCCATGAGATGGCTCACTGTGTAAAGGTACCTGCAGCAAAGCCTGCTGACCTGCATTTGACACAAGACCTAGATGGTAGAAATCCAAAAATTCCAAGTTGTTTTCTGACCTCCAAACTTGTGTAGTTGCATGTATGAATGCACACGCACATGCACCCACATTCATACAAATAAATAAATAAATAAATAAATAAATAATATTTTTTAGTTAGATGTTCCCATTAAGAAATTTTGTAGGGCTAGATAGAAAACTTAGTGTCTAGGAGTGCTTGCTCTTCCAGAGCACCTGAGTTTAGTTCCCAGCTACTGGGTGGCTCACAACTGCGTATAGCTCCACCTCAGCAGGATCCAACACCCGCTTCAGGCCTTCTCAGGCACCTTCAGGCCTATAGTATACATATACACATACACACACACATACATAAAAATCAATCTTCAAAAAAAATTAACTCAAATAATGTAAACAGTTTGTTTATACTTTAAACTCAATCGCGATGTCTACTTTTTGCTATCAAAAGAGTTCAAGAATGAATCAAGATCCAGGACAGCCAGAGTTGTTACAGAGAAGCCCAGGCTTTAAAGCAACAAGTAAAAAGAATCAAGAATATGTTCATAACTTGCATGATATCACTTACCCACATTTGGAGGTTTCACATAATTTACAGGTAGTTCTGGTGGTCTGCCTCTGTGTAGAGCTGCAAAGGCAGACCCATTCCATAGTGTACTCTTACAGTCTATATGAAAAGACCAAAGTCAGTTAAGGAAGAAAGAAACAAACAAACAAAACAAACAAAAACCTTTTTTCCACCACTCAGCACAAAACGACCTGATTTTACACCTGTAGAAATTCAATTGTAACCAGGTGGTGAGAGAGCCAGCAAGACCTCTGTGAGCTTGGTCCACAAAGTAAGTTTCAGGACAGCCAGGGTTGGTACACAGAGAAACCCTAGCTCAAAACACCAAAAAAAAAAGGAAAGAAATCCACTTGTACATTTAGAAATTTATTAAAATACAGCAAGATCACACAAACTAAAAGAAAGTATTCTTTAAAGACATATGAATATTCATTTGAAACTGCATTGATCTCTGAATCTTCCTCTATAGCAGTGTTAAATATTTAAAAGAGTCCTTACCTTTGGCATCCCGTAACAGAGACTGCCGACCAACACCTAGTAATGTCTGTACCCCAGGGACACTCTGAGGGATCTCCTTATCTAACAAGGGACCAATCCTCTCACAAATTTTAAGGAGGTAGTCTGGAGGAATGTGTGCATTGGCTGCCACCTAGAAACCATGAAGAGAGCACAGGGAAAAACACTTAGTTCTAAGGTATCAACTCATTCCATAGTAGAGCAAAGTATTTTAAAATATGAAATCAAGAAAATGAAAATTAATAATCTAATATTTAAACTAATTTTAAGAAACAGGCACACACAACGGGGCTGGACAGATGGCTCAGCGGCTAACGGCACATACTACCTTGCAGACAGTTTAGTGCCCACATTGGATAGCTTACTGCCTATAATGCTAGGAAACCTAACACCGCTGCCCTACACACACACACACACACACACACACTTAAAATAATTAAAAATAAATCTTTAAAAATGAAAGACACAAAATAAGCAAGGAATATTTAAATGATGCCATAGCACAATTTACAAAGCACAAGCCTCTATTCTACAGATTAAATCACTTTAACCTAACGCTGTTATAAAATGTGGTACAAAATAGCAAACACGATCATGTCAAGAAAAAACATAAAAAGTGATGTGTAAACTCTCTGACTTCATTTATTCAGTACTGAGAAGTAACTGGTTAAGAAAAGAATCTGGAATCCCAGCACTCGGGAGGCAGAGGCAGGCGGATCTCTGTGAGTTCGAGGCCAGCCTCGAACTACAAGAGCTAGTTCCAGGACAGGAACCAAAAAGCTACGGAGAAACCCTGTCTCAAAAAATCAAAAAGAAAGAAAGAAAGAAAGAAAGAAAAGAAAAGAAAAGAAAAGAAAAGAATCTGGGCCAGGCGATGGTGGCGCACACCTTTAATCCCAGCACTCAAATCTCTGAGAATTAGAGGCCAGCCTGGTCTACAGAGTGAGTTCCAGGACAGGCTCCAAAGCTACAGAGAAACCATGTCTCGAAAAACCAAAAAGAAAGAAAGAAAGAAAGAAAGAAAGAAAGAAAGAGGGGGGGAGGGAGGGAGGGAGGAAGGAAGGAAGGAAGGAAGGAAGGGAAAAAAAGAAAAAGATTCTGAGGCAAAAGTCAGGCAGATCTCGTTTGGTGAGTTCAAGCCCAGCCTGGCAGTTCAAAGCCCCCTAAGGGGACTTAGTAAGATCTTATCTCAAAGAGAAAAACAGAAAGGACTACTAGTGCCTAGCAAAGTGGCACATGCTTAAAATTCCAGCACTTGGGGGTTGAACCTGTTACAAAAAATTACAAAACTTAGAAAAAGTTTAAAGCTAACATGCACTTAAGTACTGTGTAGCAGGTAAATCTAACATGCACTAAGTACTGTGTTGCACGTCAGCCAGAGCAACATAGCAAGACTTTCTTAAAAGTACTAACAGGTATGTATCACCACACCCAGCATTTTGGGGCAATTGTTTTCGTAAGCCTTTGCCAAAATTAACTGTAATCTAGTAAAATAGTTAGAACCTAGGCAATGGTCATGATATTCAGAAAGAACAGCGACCATGTTGCTTCAGGTTTGTACTCAGAAAGTTCAGCTTCAGGTTTGGATCAAAAGTCAAGGAAATACTTTGCATTATTGTTCATATCTTCAGTTTGGTTTAACAACCAAATACTTATAAAGAACTCTACTTCATTAAAATATGCAAATAATATTAAAATCAAAGCACCTGGTGATTCAGTCTAAAAATATGATCTATAGAAACTGATATCCTAATGTCTCGTACATAACGACCGTTCACATTAGCTTATTTAATAAGTATGCCTCATGTACATATACAGTATCTGAAAGAAAAAAGCCTTATAGCACTATATATATATATATGTGTGTGTATATATACATATATATACATATATATATAAACCATGCAAATTTCCCAACACTCTTGGAGAAACTGAGCTCCTTATAGCAAGTAAATGCTATATGGGAGACTCTACATGGATGTCTTTCTTGGCAAATATTTTCTGGCCCTTGACTAACTTAACAATTATTTGCACTTGTTTTAAAACCTTAAATAAGGCCGGGCGGCGGTGGTGCACGCCTTTAATCCCAGCACTCGAAAGGTAGAGGCAGGCGGATCTCTGTGAGATCGAGGCCAGCCTGGTCTACAAGAGCTAGATCCAGGACAGGCTCCAAAGCTACGGAAAAACCCTGTCTTGAAAAAAAAAAACTTACATAACTACCTTAGAGGTAGAATATACCTAGTGATACATGATGCCCTCCCCCAAGCTCCTCAAAAAGATTTCACTGCCCTAAGAGAAATGACAGTCCCTGTGGAGAAAACAACTAGAAAATAGAAATAAATCAAAACTCAAAGAGCCAGAGGTTAGTATAGAGATCTAAAGAAGCAAAAAGAGCCGGACAGTGGTATAAACACCTTTAATCCCAGCACTCAGGAAATAAGGGCAGGCAGATCTCTGAGTTCCAGGCCAGCCTAGTCTACAGAGTAAGTTCCCGGATGGGCCAGGGCGACACGGAGAAACCACGTCTGGAAAAACTCAAAGCAAACTAAATGAACCCAGCAAAAATAAAGTATCTGGTTTTTCCCCTAGAGGTAAGAGGAACTGTGTCTCTTAAATGTTCCCTAATTAATATTAGGTTTACTTAAAAGTCAGGATTGAATCATAAACTCACATCTTAAATCTTTTGACAACTTTATAGAAATAAAAATGTCTCATTTTCTGATGATTATGTAAAAAAGTTACTGTGAAATGGGATAGGTGTGCAGAAACATACATAGTAATTGGTTCTTCTCTAAGCAGAACTAATGTGCTGCACTCTTGCTCCCCCCCCTTCTCTCTCTCTCTCTCTGTCCCCCCCCCCTCGGTTTTTTTTTTTCCAGACACAGTTTCTCTGAGTAACAGCCCCTGGCTGTCCGGAATTTGGTTTCCAGACCTGACCCACCTGCCTCTGCCTCCTAAATGCTGGGATTCCAGGTGAGTCACCAGGTCTGGCTCCCAAGAGCTCTGCAGCAGCACAGGTTACAAGGAGTTAAGACTCCCTGCAACTCTCCTTCGGAATGTTAATCAGTATTAATAGAATTTCTTTCTCTACTAGCTTCAAGATTTCCCCAGGAAAAAGAAACTTTAAACAACCCTGGGCCTGGGGCACACTTCTTAAATCCCAGCACTGCAGAGGCAGAGGCAGGCAGATCTTGGTGAGTTCCAGTCCACTCTGGTTTACACAGCAAGTTCCAGGACAACCAGAGCTAAGCTACAATGTAACACTTTCTAAAGACAACAAACAAAAGAGGAGGGAAGGGGAGGAAAGAGTGCTAAAGGGGCTCTAAACCTGAATGAGATAAAAATCAAGAAAAGTACAGAGGCAACTTCTATATTCAAGAAGTTGCTCAGTGGTGAAGGTACAAGGAAGGGAATAAACTCAGTCTACGCTACCAGCTTAAGTAATCTCTGTGTATGAGTGTGTATGTGTATGTGTGTGTGTATATACACAAATACAGTATTTGCAAATGTACATGAAACAGTAAAGTGTCTTTAAATTGCTATTTGTTACCAAACAGTTTCCTAAGTAATCCGTAAGCAATTGAAAAAATGCACTCAAATTTACTAGCAGTCATGTGAAAAACATGACAAAGATAATTTCAGGCTGGAAAGACGGCTCGGTGGGTAATGTGCTCCCCATACCATCAGGAGAACTTTAGTTGGGATCGTCAGTAGCCATGTGCACGGCAGCATGGCTTTGTAATCCTAGCCTTCAGGAGATGGACACAAGAGAATCCCGGGGTTTCCTGACCAGCTACTGTAGCTGAATCCAAATTGTAGACTCTGTGAGAAGTACTGCCTCAAAATAAGGTGTATGGACCAAATATTAGGAAGACACTTTCTTTACATGAATGAAATTGTTAAAGGATCCATAAAAGATATTCTATTAAAAATAGTAAGGAATGCTGAGAACGGGAGAAATAGTCTTTTCCAGGGAAGAGCAGAGCAATTGGCTATACAATACCAAATGGTCAGCCCTGAAAATATACATACAGTTAACATACCGACTCAGAAGGTTATATTTAGGAATATATATGTATATACAGATACATATATTCGTGCAACTACAAATAATGAAAAAAAATCATGAATTTGAAAGAGGAAAAATAAAGGGTATACAGGAAAGTATGGAGGGAGAAAAGGGAAGGGAAAATAATGTAGTTATAAACCAAAAATAAAAGAAAAAAACTAAAAAAAAATACGCTGGTGCTTACTAAAAAGTAAAAAAAAAAAAAACCCATAGAGCAACTGGAAGAAAGTCAACCTCTGGCCTCCACATATACAGAAAACAAATTCAGATGCTCACATACATATTCACACATATCTCCCCTAATTCTCTCTCTCACACACACAGGGAAACAGGGATGACTTCACAGCAAAATTTTGTAAGCAGAATTCATAAAATCAAATTCTTACCTCCCTCTCATCTACTCTCTTCACTTATAATACTACCTCACATGAACTGAGATTCCACTTTTTCCAGAAATATCAAATAAATCACCAGAACAATTTTAATCACTAACGTGTGTTCCCTACAACCAAATCTAGTTTAAGTAAGTGCTAAAAACCTGTTTACGTGAGCACCAACAGGTACAATGACTCAGTAAGTCAATAGCAACCCCAGGTTCCAGAGACTGACAACTCTACCATATCATTCACTGTTAGGACAACACACTGCATTGGACTTGAGGAGCAAATGTTTTGGGTTTCACATGCTCCATTCTGTTCTTCGTAACTGTGACTGTGTGTCATAGAGCAGATTTTAAATCCCACATGTTTAAATTGCTCCCATGCTTACACAGTCCATAACTATGCTACCAGCACTCAAAAATAGTCTGCTCTTCTAGTAACCAATTTAAGCTATTGTTAGCAATTAGACAAAAGTTGGGCAAGGTAAGAGAGGAATATAGGTATGTCTGGAATGCTAATATATTGTTTTAAAGTAGTTGTTATGAGTCAAATGACCATATGAAAACACTCTTAATAGGGCTAGGGCTGTGGCTCAGTCATAGTGCTTGCCCTGTATGCATGGTTCATTTGGTTTAATCACCAATACTACCAAAAGAGTTTTAGAGCCTGAATGTCTTATGCAAAGATGCAAATTCTTAGAATGACAATAATTATACTCTTTTTACAGACACTAATGAACATATAATCTTTTTTGAGCATATACCTTTGATACATTTATTTTAATATTATTGCCTCATGTATTTTGTATATTAAAGGTAATGTAACCTATGTCATTCTAATACAATTGCTAACTAGTGCTTTCAATTTCATGGATGAAAAATGTGAACAAAGGGGATACAAAAAAAGAACAAAGTTCATAATATAAAACTTTAAATGAAAAAAGCAAGGGTACATGGTTTATATAGTCAAATATAAAAATTCCTCTGCATATCAAAAAAAATTTTTTTTTTGGTTTTTCGAGACAGGGTTTCTCTGTAGCTTTGGAGCCTGTCCTGGAGCTAGCTCTTGTAGAGGATCAGGCTGGCCTCAAACTCACAGAGTGCTGGGATTAAAGGTGTGCGCCACCACAGCCTGGCTCAAAATTTTAAATATATATAAAAAAGGTCTCGAAATGTAGCTTATGCACAACACCCTTGATTCCATCATGTGTGTGTGTGTGTGTGTGTGTGTGCGTGTGCGCGTGCACATGTTTATGAAAATGTAGCCAGGCACATGGTGGCACGTGCCTGCTGGGAAGACTGCAGAAGAAGGAACATAAGTTTGAAGCCACCACAGTATCTCAAATTCTACACCGAGGGGCTGGAGAGATGGCTCAGCGGTTAAGAGCATTGCCTGCTCTTCCAAAGGTCCTGAGTTCAATTCCCAGCAACCACATGGTGGCTCACAACCATCTGTAATGGTGCCCTCTTCTGGCCTTCAGGCATACACACAGAAAGAATATTGCATAAATAAATAAATAAATAATTAAATAAATAAAAAATTCTACACCGAACTTCACAAATCCAAGGAAACTTTGTGTAACAATACCAAATAAATAAATACTGATTAGAAGAAATGCTGTAATCCCAGCATTTCTAAGGCTGAAGCAGGGGGTTGCTTCAAGCTTGAGGCAAGCCTGAACCACATAATGAGCTCTAGGTTAGCCTACACAGCAGCGTGTGACCCTGTCCCATCAAACAAGCTAACAAAACAGAAATATATGAACGAATGACATCAAGTCCATAGAAACTGATAACTGCCTTAACAATAATTTTAAAAAGTAACTTTTAGCCGGGCAGTGGTGGCGCACGCCTTTAATCCCAGCACTCGGGAGGCAGAGGCAGGCAGATCTATGTGAGTTCGAGGCCAGCCTGGTCCAGAAGAGCTAGTTACAGGACAGGAACCAAAAAGCTACAGAGAAACCCTGTCTCAAAAATCAAAAAAAAAAAACAAATAAAAAGTAACTTTTAAGGGTTAAGCAAGCCTAGTACTAATAAAGAAAATTCTATTTAAATCAACTCAGGCCTTCTGGAAAGTGGTCTTCAATGTATGATTAAAGCTACAAAGCTGATGAGCTCCTTTGACCTTATTCAGAAATCCACTTTAGAGAGCAAAGTCCAAGGGACTTGGGGAGAAGGTAGCAGGAAAAGACCACCTAATTATGCAAAAATATTAGTGGAAAAAAATCACTGTAACTTAGAAGATCAATTGGAAATTGAGGACAAATCATAGTATCTAAAATACAACTAAATTGGTTTTTCTTACCATAACAAGGCTGGCTATGCAAATAACACTAGTCATGCAAAAGCACTGCCAGAAAGACAAAGCAGAAAATGGACAGACTGCAACTGTATAAAAATTTGCTTTTACAGTTTAAGAAAGGACTAGTAAACTGGTATTAAAATTGGGTGGTAAGGAGAAATTTTTAATTACTTGAATTCCTATTGCATTCGTTTTGAAAATATAGTTTTAAGTTTCCTTTTGCCATTTGCTCAAAATATAATCTACATGCACACACATATGTAAACTGGAAAGGGAAAATGTAAAGAAAAGCACTATCCATACACCTAGATAGTCAAACTATTTTCAAATGTGTATCAGTAGTTACCTGATAAAACATATTTTAGTGAATACTTTGGTTTTACGTTCTGTGGTACAAGTTGAACTCATATCTAACAAGAGCAACAACATAAAACTTCTGGCCAAAAATTAAAAGAAATAACAGGTATTCAGAAATAATTTATAACCATCTGAAAAATTATAACCATTAACATGGTGACATTTACTCTTATTACAATTGTACCATTTGTTGATTTGTAAAACAGTCAGTAGATTCTGTAACAATTTACATGCTTCACTCTTGAAATACTGTACACAAAAATTATCAAAAGGAATACCTCAGGAATTTAAAGGTTTTCTTATTACAATATAATTTTAAATAAATTTTCTTTTTATTTATTCTACTACCCTTCCAACTTGTCTCTACTTTCTCTTATTTTTCCTCATTTGGATCTTATTTGGAGGAAAGAGAGCTGAATTTAGTGAACTTAGATTTCATCACTCTTTTTATTATCATACAATTCGACATCTGTGACCAACAGAAGAACCTCCTTCCCAAAATATAAAGGGTCACCTTTTTGTCTCGGTGCAGAGCAGAAGGTGCACTTACACTACGAATCATAGTTGCAGGAGAAACAGCAGTCAATCCGATCGCTTTGGTTCTTAACTAAAGTATATTCTATTTTTAAAAAATGCCCATTGTTGTCTCCTAATCCCCAAATCATGTTCACCTATTCCTAAAAGGTCATAATCCATAGTTTTGATTTAGTAAAAACGTATCTGTACAAACGCAATTTACTGATGAATTAACGAGCTATTTTCTAAGATCTGAAATATACAACGTTTTTATTCAGTAGTCCATTATCTAAAGACGGCAAATCTTGGAAATCACTCAGTGGTCCCTTAGTATCTTTATTTGTGTCGTTTTTCTCATTTACAAGTCAGTTCCCCTTCTGAGCTCCTTCTCCCTTTCCCTCTAAAAAGAAAGAAAGAAAGAAAGAAAGAAAGAAAGAAAGAAAGAAAGAAAGAAAGAAAAAGAGAGCGAGAGAGCGAGAGGAAAAAAAAAAACACCCAAGCCTGGCCTCAGTTCCCGTATTTCAAGCCAGGACCAACCAGAAACCAGTTTTCTTCCACTAATCCGGAACTCCGGGCTGTTACCAACGCTGTCATTGGCCAGCGTCAGTCCTTGGTACGTGCCCCAAGATAACCCCCTGGTTTCTGTCCCTTCTCCCCCTACAATGGGCCTTCTCCGATGTTTGTAACAGAGTCATAATCCACAACACAGCACCTCAGATAACCAGCTCACATTCTTCAAAGTTTTTGGGTGAAAATAAGCAAGGCTGGAGGAGGGCAAGGTACCCTTCCCGACACGCTGGGAGGGGGAAGGAGCAGTCGATTGAACACCAAACAGCAGGCTTGGGGAGCCTAGCGGGCTGAAGGGTCAGGGGCGGGTTGGGGGCACAAGGTGGGGAGGGAGTGGAGAAAGAGTTGGGCTAAGTTGAAATGAAAAGTTTACTAACCAGATCCTCGAAGCTTCTTCGGTGCTCTTTCCCCTCCCAGTCTAAGCGGCGCGGAATCAGCTGGGGGCCAGAGGAAAAGAAAAGGGGGGGGGGGGTGAAGGAAAAGCCTCTGCTCCCCATCAGCAGCACCCAGCCTGGAGCCCAGTCCTAGACCCTCTAGTGTTTTTCTCCAGACCGGACAGCTCCTGCCGCCGTGCCGGGGGTGGGGGGTTGGGGGGACAGGCCAAAGGGAAGGAAATCCTGAAAAAACGTCTCCCGCAGGAATAAAAGGCAACGAGTTAAGACCCCAACCTTGTCCGCCCCTTCTGAGAAAGAACCCGGCTCACCCCAAGTGACAACAGCCCGGAGTGTCCTGCTCAAAGGCTCCCTCTGGGCCCCTGCCCTCGGCCCCTGACCTACCTTACCCTTCCTCCAGTTTCTCCTCAGCCCTCCCCAGCCCTTCCCAAAGGGGGTCCATACCTGATGCTCCTCGAGCTCTTGCACTAGCACCTGGGGAAGAGGGAAACACGGATATGAGAAGCAGATTGGGGCGCCAACCCATTCCTCCCTCCCCACTTCCAACACAGCCGCTGACTGTAGGACTAATCGAGGCCGGCCTTTCCCTCACCCTCCACTGCACTGCTCACCCGGTGCCTCAATTTCCCCATTGGGACCATTCCCCAACACTCCCAGATATCCTTCTCCGTCTCACCTGAGCGGATTTGTTACAGGGTCCGGACTGCAAGAACCTAGCGATCAGGTAATACAGCTCTAAGGAAGGGGTGGGGGTGGGGGGTGGGGGGAGATGTTGGGAGAGAGGCAAGGAAGAGAGATACAAGCTTTTAAAAAAATTCTGACAGCCGTCGCGCAAAGCCCCCATCCCTTTAGCCCCTGGCTCAGCTACCCACCGGCTTCGATCTGGGTAGGTGCCGCCGCCATCCTTTTCCCGAGGGGGTTTGGGGGCTTTGCTCCGGACGGCTGGCGGGTGCGGGTGGGGGCGCTGCCTCTATTGTGGTGAAGCCCCCATGCCTGGGAGTCCCGCCGCTTCCGCCGCACTCCTCGTCCCAGTTTCGGTCTCTCTCGGATTCATCGCATCACGTTTCGACCCATAGATATTCTAGCCCAAGAGCTGAGGAGGCGGAGGAGGAAGGAGAGCAAGAGAAAAGGAGAGGGAGGAGCCGAAGTCGCTGAGGGGTGGGCGGGGGCAAAAGGGGTGGAGTCATGGAAAGGGGGGGGGGAAGGGGAGGGAGCTGCTTGCAGTGCTCATGGCTCGCCGCCAGAGGCACTGGGGCTGCTGCCTTGCTCCTGCCGCGTGAGCCGGCCTGGGGTTGCCTAGTTACTGCTAGGGGAAGGAGGAAGAGGTGCTAAACTCAGGCAGACACTCTGGCAACCTCTCTAAAACTCTGTGGTGGCATTGGCGTCCCTGAGCTCCGGAGTTGCTTACCCTTCCTGTAAGGGCGATTGGACCCTTTCCGGTGAGGGAACCTTTCATGAGAAACTTGTAAGGGACTAACTTGGCCTAACTCTGATAGGTCACCTAAAGGGTTTGGTTTGTTTGTTCTGTCTCTACCCCAAGGAAATGGTGCTAGCCACTTGTGGTCTTGTGTCCAAACGAGGAACAGTGCACCAGATGAAAGTGCTGTACTTACCCGATGAGTAGATAAATAATATTCTTATAGAAAACTACTTAAAATATCCCCCTTGATGCTATAAAAATTGCTTGAGAAATTTACACTTCAACCAGGAAGCCGGTTCCAAATTCTGAAGTTTTCAATAATGTATTTTCCCAAATTCTGTAGGTAAAGTTTGAATTGTTTTGAAACACTATCAAAACATTTTTAAAGTTCTTAAATATCCATTGAAGTTTGGATAGAAACCATACTTTGTTTTGTTTTGCCCTTTAAACGCTATTTTCTGACATGCTCTCACTATATATCCAAGCCTCGCCAGGAATTAGTTGCAATCCTCCTGCCCTGCTTCCCGGGGTGCTCACCTTGCAAGCATAAATCAGCGTGCTAGTTTACAAATTGTTTCCTAGAAATTTGAGACTACAATCGTTTTAATATATAGCCTCAATTCTTCACACATCACTGACTTTTGGTGGTGGGTAGTTAAGTCTTCAGTGATCAAAGTTACTTGTGTAATGATTGTCACAGATGGAGTAAACTGTTTTACTTAACCACTTTCTTTTAACATTCTGTTCTCATTCTCTACTTTGAAATCCTAATTCATTGAAGCTAAACCTGCTGGCAAAACAGACTCTGTTACATTGTTTACATTGAAGTACTCAAATTTGAAGGTTCACCTTCTAAATTGATAGTGGGAGTTTGGTTTTCAGATTTAGGGAGTTCAGCCAATAACACAGTGGGCCTAGAATTCCATTAAGTTAGCATAAACAAATTATCCTCACTAACTCTTTTTGTCTGTTTCTTTTGTTCAGAAATTAATAACAATACAAGGTAATTATGAAATGCTATGGTTATCTTTGGCATAATCATTATTTTTAAAAAGTAGATAAAAGAAATATAAAAACCTCTGAAAATCTTTGTAAGGGGTTACTGAAATAGTAATAATTTTATGGTTCAATAGAATATAATATAATTAACAGTTAACCTTTACCAAGTCATTATCACATGTTACCTGCTGTAGCTCGTTTAATTATTACAGTGACCTATGAGACAGGTTATTTTTCTTCATTATACAGAGAAGAAAAATGACTATTATATGATTTTAGAGCATTCACATTTATCAATTGTATTCCTTATGTGTAAAATATAAGAATAAATAATATTCACCATACTTACTTACAGAATTTCTGGCCTGGCGGTGGTGGCGCACGCCGTTAATCCCAATACTCGGGAGGCAGAGGCAGACGGATCTTTGTGAGTTCGAGGCCAGCCTGGTCTACAAGAGCTAGTTCCAGGACTGGCTTCAAAGCTACAGAGAAACCCTGTCTCAAAAAACCAAAAGAAAAAGAAAGAAGAAAGAAGAAGAAGTCATATGAGAATATATTTGTGTTATGTTTCAAAAGGTATGTGGCATAACTATCCTTGTGTTCATTTAACTATTGATTTCAATGCAATTAAGAGATAAAACCCCACAAATTTACAGAGGTTTAAGACAAGAAATTACTTTGTATAAAAACTGTTCTTAAATTTTTATTTGTTTAGCTGGGGAGTGGTGGTGCATGCTTTTAATTTTAGCACTCAGGAGGCAGAGTAAGGTGGATCTCTGAGTTCGAGGACAGCCTGGTCAACAGAGCGGGTTCTAGGACAAACAGGACTGTTACACAGAAGAGAACCCCTGTCTCAAAAAAAAATTGTGTATATGAGGGGGGAAATGTCACCTGCCCTCAAGGCAAATAATTATTTTTAACAGGAATTTGAAGTGATAATGGATTAAGAGTAAAGAAAATAAAGATTAGCCTTGTGTTTCAGATATAAACACTTCAGGAACTCCAAGAAGCAAAATTTCTTAAATTGCTTCTAATGTTCTCTATTGACAAAGTAAACTAACAAAAGGAAAGATATTTAAAGGCCTGAATCCATTTCCACAGAGCAGTCAGTACGGGTGAATTTTGGAGATGATAATCAAGAAACTGATGAACTAGCACAAATTTTCTGGACTAAGTAGGTAAGAAGGAAGATTTGAAATGTGTATATTCCCACCAAAAGTCTTCATTGTTCTGAACTAATGCTAATTCATCAGACACTTTCAAGTATTTTATATCACAATATCACAGAGCCACCAGTCTTAACTCTCTCTCTCTCTCTCTCTCTCTCTCTCTCTCTCTCTCTCTGTGTGTGTGTGTGTGTGTGTGTAGGTCAGAAAGGAGAATATTGGAGTTAGTTTTCTCCCTCCATCACGAGGGTCCTAGACTGAATGCAGATTGTCACGCGTGACAGCAAGTGCATTTACCCACTGACCCATGCTGCTATCTTTCTTTCAATTTTTTCAAAGTTTTATTAGGAGAGGAGAAAAAATTTTATCTGTTACAGTAAAAATGAATTTATGTAGAAAACTATGAAATGTTGCCAGGCATTGTGGTATGTTTTTATAATCCTGGCACTTGAGAATCTGAAGCAGGAGGATCAAGAGTTCAGCACCATCTTTGGCTGGCTATCCAGTGATTGTGAGACCAACCTGCCTCAAAAATAAAAAAGAAAGAAAAAAGGAAGAAAGAAAAGAAAAGTGAGACAGTCAGCAAATGGCTCTGTGGGTGAAGGTGCTTGCCACGAAGCCTGAGAAACTGAATTCAGTCCCTAGGACCCATATAGTGCAGGAGAAAACAGGCTCACTCATGTTTTTCTCTGACCTCCACACTTTTGCCCTTGTTAGTATTCAGGCCTGAATAGTAACAGCCCTGGCATGCACCCCTGCCCCCATCCACAAATACACTAAATAAATGTAAAAAAAATGTAATAACAATGTTTACTTGGTTGCTGCACTAGTTTCCTGGGGCTGCCATAACAACGTCTAATCCAGAGGGCTTAAGAAGGCAGAGGGTTGTTCTCTTTACATGAGAGCCAGAAATGAAAAACCAGCCTGTGGCAGAGTGCATGCTCACTCTGAATGCTCTGCTAGAGAATTCCTTTTACCTTTCCTAGCATCTGATGGCTCCTTAGCATTCTCTGATGTGTTGACAGCATAATTCAAATGTCTTCCTCCATCTTCACATAACTTTTATCTATTTGTGGCCCAGCGACAAATTTTACCGTAGTGTGTGTGTGTGTGTGTGTCTAGTGATCCACCCAGAGCCTCCCAAATTCTGGTCATGCACTCTACCACTTAACGTGTTTTGTTATAAGGACACAAGTCACTGAATTTCAGGCCCATCATAAATCTAGAATGATCTCATGTTAGTGCTATAATTATACATGCAAAGACCCTATTTTCAAGTAAGGTAATATTCACTGGTAGTTAGGTCAGAACATGAACATACTTTTGAGGGGACACAACTGACTAAAGTATGCTTTTGTCTTTGGAACCTGTCCTGGAACGAGGTCTTGTAGTCCAGGCTGGCCTCAAACTCAAAGAGATCTGCCTGCCTCTACCTTCCGAGTGCTGGGATTAAAGGCATGTGCCACCACCGCCCGGCTTTTTTTTTTTTTTTTTAAGACAGGGTTTCTCTCTGTGTAACCCTAGCTGTCCTGGAACTCACTCTGTATACCAAGCTGTCCTCCAAATCAGAGATCCACCTGCCTCCACCTCTGGAGTACTGGGATTAAAGGTGTGCACAACTGCCGCCCACAGACATCACAGCCACTACCACCCAGCTATGATCTTTATTTACTTTTTAAAAATATTTATTTATTTATTATGTATGCAATATTCTGTCTGTGTGTATGCCTGCTGGCCAAAAGAGGGCACCAGACCTCATTACAGATGGTTGTGAGCCATCATGTGGTTGTTGGGAATTGAACTTGGGACCTTTGGAAGAGCAGGCAATGCTCTTAACCGCTGAGCCATCTCTCCAGCCCCATGATCTTTATTTTTAAATAACTCTTATTCACCGTTATTTTATGCTTGTGTGGTTGTGTGTACATGATGTATGTACATGGGCCTGTCTGCATGTGACTGTCAGAGGACTTTGTGGAGTTGGTTCTCTCCTTCCACTTTTTTTAAAAAGTATTTTTGAAACAATTTATTTATTTTTATTCCATGCATATGAATGTTTTTGCCTGTATATATGCACGGGCATCTCACAAGTACAGTGTCTATAGAGGCCAGAAGAGGGCGTCACATCCCCTGGAACTGGAGTTACAGCTTGCGAGCCACCATGTAGATGCTGGGAAATGAACCAAGACCTTCTGGAAGATCAGTCAGTACTCTTAAACACTGAGCCATCTCTCCACCCCATCTCCTTCCACTTTTATGTGGGTTTCAGGAATTGAACCTATTGTCCTCCTTAAAATCATATTGCAGGTCATGAAGAGCCCGAGCTGCCTGAGTTGGATCCTCACATCCACAGAGTAAAATAGAATTGACTCCTGAAAGTTGGCCTCTGACTTCACATGTGCCTTGGTACGTGCTTGTAGGAATACACATACACAGAAAATAAATAAAATGCAAAAAGAATTAAAACCACAT